GGGGAGGGGCGGGCTGGGCTGGGGGGAATCCGAGCGGGTACCCCAGGGAAGGCGGCAGGTGGGGTGCAGTCACCTGCAGGCGGTCGGCCAGGCGGTGCGCAGAGAAGACGGAGCCGAAACCGCCCTTGCCCAGCAGGGGCCCCAGGCGGTAGGTAGCCTCCAGGGCCTCCTGGCCCTTGCCTGGCCGGCCCGGGGGCTCCGGGGACGGGAGCTGAGGCAGCGCCTCGGGGCCCTTGGTCAGCATGGCCCGGCTGGCCTGGGGGGGGGGGGGGGGCCTGACCGCTGAAGCGAGTTGCCCGGCTCCGCCCGGGACGGAGGCTCGCACTCTACTGGCCACCGGGCGGCCGAGCCAGCCGAGAGGTCAGCCCCGAACGCCCCGCCCTCCCGCGCCGGGCCAATCGGCAACCAGGCATTTACATGCCAGCCCCGCCCCGGGCCTCCTCTCATTCCTAGTCGGGGCCTGAATACAAATGAGGGGAGGGGGCCAAGGAGGGATTTTTTCCGGAATCGTGACTGGAGAGGTTTAATTAAGCCAGAGAACAGGTTTTGTGGCGGGTCTGGGGATCCCAAACTCGGAGAGGCCGACAGGCGATCCCTCTGGAATCGGCCTGGCCCCCACCCTCAAACGCTAGGTAGCCCAGCCTCCATGGCCTCCGCTGTCCCCTTCCCCCACCAGTCCCCCAGGAAGCGAGACTCTTCGGGGGGAGGGCAAGAGGCGGAGGAAGTCGAATCTCCTGGCAACCTCAGCCCGACCCAGGGTCTGCGGAGAGCTAGGCTCCTGAGAAGCTGAGCCTGTCGTCCCCCCCCCCCCCCCCCAGAAACGAAGACCGAGCGCGGAGGGGGGGCCCCCAGCACAGTTCAGCCCAGCGCCCGTGGGCCAGTGGGGTTATTCTGCCAAGGTGGGGGGAGGAGAGGTGCTGTGCCCCGTCTTGCCAGCTCGGGGTGGGGGATACAAACGCCCTTCTCTCCTCTCTCAAGTCTAGGGAAGCAGCTAGACAATTCTATCCCCAGGTTCTAAGACAGTGAGGGAAATGGGGAGGGGGGGCACCCAGGGTAGTCACTTTGGACACAGGTCAGTTTCGTTGTCCAAAATCTGAGGGTTGGGGTGGGGGGAGGGGTGCCCAGTCTCAAGGCACCTGCTTCCTGCCCTACCACTCCTTCCTCCCACTCCTTAAAAGAGGACAGACAGAGAGACAGAGACAGAGAGACAAGACAGAGACAGACGCAAGACAGACAGAGACAAGACGGAGAGACAGAGACAAGACAGAGACAGAGAGACAGACAAGACAGAGACGAGACAGCGAAGACACAGACAAGAGAGAGATAGAGACAGAGACAAGACAGAGGGACAGAGACAGAGAGAGACAAGACAGAGACAGGACAGAGACAGAGAGAGACAAGACAGAAACAAGACAGAGACACAGACAGTGACAGAGACAAGACAGAGAGACAGAGAGACAGAGAAGAGCAGAGGGGAGCTACCGGTCCCAGCCCAGCCCAGGTCCCCAGTCCCCAGGACACAGCTGGGTCAGGATCTGCATTTTTTTTTTAGAAGATAAAATTACATTTTAATAAAGGGAGAACGGGTAAAGACACCCAAACACTGACGAGTCAGACGTCTTCCAGGCTGGGGGGGGGGGGGGTTCTATGGATTCCCCCACCCCACCATCACCCCCTCAAGAGGGGGCAGCAGAGATGGTGAGCACAATTTCCCTCCATTGACAGGCGTATCCAAAAGGCTGTGAGGACAATGGTGTCTAAGGGGCCACTGTGGCCCTCTGTTTCTCAGGGCCTGGCCACAATTCATTCCGCCACTGAATCCATGTTGTAGTTTAGGTGCAGAGGAGCTCAAGGAAGAAGGTGGGCATTATTTGAGGGAGCTGGGGGCGGGGGTAGAGGGGGCGGGTAGAGGAAGGCATGTGATCCAAGGGGTGGTCAAGGCTGGACCAGAGTGTGAGAATCCCCCAAGGACTGGCCAGGCCAGGGGAGGGAAGAGCAGTGGAAGGCAGAAGGAAGGGGAGAAGGCGGGCAGGGGGCTCCAGTCCCTGGTTATCAACTCTTGTCTGGTGGGGGGTCTCTGTGTACTGTGTTTTTCTTCATACTGTCCAAATATTCCTGTTGGGAGACGGCAAGGACGGAAGCCAGGATTTCATCATCGTCCCAGTCGTTCAGACCTAGCGGGGAAGGGGAGAAGAGTGGAAATGAGGCCTGGCGGGAGGGGAGCCAGCAGCCTGATGGGGGTGAGGAGATGCTGGGCCCTGAAGGGCCTTCCTTACCAAAGGCGCTAGGTGACATCTGCTGGATGAGGGCCCGGCATTCCAGAGCAGGGTACAGGGACACAAGGGGGGAGGTGGCTCGGTCTCCTCCCGTCACCAACTGGCTGCTTGGACCTAAGATGGATGGGTGTCAGGAGGCCTCACCTAGAAAGACAGAGAGCCGCCGGCCGCCCCCCCTCCCTTCCTCCCCTCCCCGCCAAAGACCCCGCCAGGTCACCAACAAACACTGACCTGGTGTGCAGGGTGAGGGGGGTTTGGCGAGAGTGAGGGCATGACCTGGCGAGGGTGGCTTGGGGCCCAGCTCTGAGTGAAGGTCCTGCTGCTCAGGGGAGGGGGCGGTGCTCCGCTGTCTGGGGGACCTGCCACTCCACTCCTCCAGACCACTAGAGGCCGCTGCTGTGGCAGAGCTGCAAGTGGCGCTGGCTTTCCGGGGCTGGGAGAAAGGGCAGTGGATGCCCACAGGATTAAATCTCACCTGGAGAAGCCCGACACCCTTCCAGGGCCTGTGTGACCCCGGACCCAAAGCCTCCGCTCCCCTGGCCCTGGCCTCAGTGGGCAAGACCACCTACCTGTGCTTGGCCCCTGACCTGCCGGGCTTGCTTCTCCTGGTCCCGAAGCCACTGCAGGTAAGACTCTCTGGCTACCTGTTCCTCAATGGCCTCATTGGTGGCTTCCCAATCTGTGGCCCGCTTCTTATCCTCCAGCATCTGCTGCTCAATCCACGACTCCTCTGATGTTTTAATGGCACTCTTCATCAGAGACTGGTCAGCAAACTAGGGGGAGACAGAAGGAAGTGGCCTTTAAAAGCCAAGGCCAGGGCAGAAATAAGGCCACCCACCCCTGAGGGAGGGGGGGGAGAGAGGGAGGGGGGGGGGGAGGGGAGGAGGAGCCTCTGGGCAGAAGACTCAGCGTGGCGGGGGGGGGGGGGGGGGGCACACGTGCGGGGCCTGGGAAGAACAGTGGTGCCATGACATCCCAAAGGGAGGGGCAACCCCAAAAGCGCCAAGGCCCTTGGCCATTAAGGGCCACCTCCCCCCCAACCCTTTCAGGTAGGGCCTCAGCTTAGGCTGCTGCTAACTAGGGTGGTCCCAGGCTACAAAGGAAGACAGGAGGGGAGACAGGCAGCAGAAAGTAGCAACTCAACGAGACCCCCTTGAAAACGGGCCAGGGACTGGGTCCCAGCTCTCTCTGCCCACATACTGCCTCCTTCCCTTGTGGTGGTCAAGACTCTGAGCCAGACTGGGAAAATAAGACATTTTAAGGGTTCTCTCCTCGCCCCCCCTCCCCAACTCATCCCCCAGGGATCTACCTCCTCCCAAAGGTCGACAGGGCCGAGAGGAGGGAGGCCATAGGAACAACTCCCCCACTCAACAAAACATGGAATGAATTGAGGGAGGTACAGGGGAGAGGCCAAAGACCACTGCCGTGGATACACAGAGAGAAAAGACGGCTTCCAGAGTCCCTTTCGGTTCTGAGTGTGTGTATGTGCGTGTACATGTGTATACGTGGGTGAGTGCACGTGTGTGTCTCGTGTACGCATGCTCCCATGTAAAAAGACAGGCCTGAATAGGAAGGGAGAGGAGGGCAGACAGTAGACAGAAGAGCAGCCGGGTTCAGCTCGAGAGCTGCTCACTCACCCCTGGCTTGAAGGAGGGGAGCCCCAGCCCCACACCAATGGTGGCCTTGTTGGGGTTCACCACTGAGTTGTAGTGGACGTTGCGATGATAGCTGACCCGGATGGGCTCGTCCTCATTCTGCTGAATGCCATGAAACGTGTTGATGGGCTCTGGGGGGACGGGGATACTTGTGCTGTGACGGACGGGGTGGGGCAGGGCCCAGGCCGGCTCCCCCTGCCCCCCCGCGGCCCTCACTGGCCCTACCTGTACTGTACTGGTACACCTCGACGGGCCGGTTGTACATCTCCGCCATGGCCTGCATCTCGATGTGGTTCCCATGACAATTGTTCTTCCTCTTCCGGTTGATGTAGGTGGTGAAATCTTCAGTGACGTAATTGGAGAAGTAGTCGGCGTTCTTCATCTGGGGGAGAAGGGAGCACAGACTCAGCAACGGACGAAGAGGGGAGCAGCAGGCCCCCGGCAAGCCCAAGCGGGCCCCAGTCTCACCAGATAATCCATGCAATGTTTCCGGACAACCTCATGCATGTCCTGGTCACCATACACCTGGTCCGCTGCAGAAAAGTGGCACAAAGTCAGAGGTTCAGGAGGGCGAAGCCAGAGTGAGGAAACAGGCCCCAAGAGGGGCCCACCAGAATCAGAGCAGGTTCCTGCCATCCAACCCAACCCCAGGGTTTTACTGTTCAGTTACTAGCTGTGCTGGGGGAAGAGAGATCACAGCCCTCCCTTCTTTCGAGGTCCATTCAGAACTGCCACTGTCCTGGGGCAGTGAAATGGGAAAGGGGGGTGGGGGGAAGAGAGGCGTTTCAGGCCTCCACCAAGCGAGCACCACATCCTGCAAGCCAGCCCCCTGAACAAGTCCAGCCTAGGAAAAGGCGGGCTTCTGAGGGGTCAAAGTTAGCTGGGGGAGAGGTCAGAGGGTCAAGCCTAGAAGGTGCCCAACTTCTGAGAAAGGACCTGGGCTTTCAGGGAGGAGGTCTGGCCCCACATGCAGCAGCCTGACACGGTGGTCAGAGGAAGGAGAACGGCTCCCACCCCCCCCTACTATTTTTGTGTCGTGTAAGTGAGGGAGTGCTAAGCCTTTTGCCAATGTAAACCTGCCACAGGCTTAGATGTTCCAGCAAGTCCTCAGAAGCCTGGGCACCCACCCCACTGGGGGAGCAGCAGGAAAGGAACAGAACTGCCCCTTGTCTGGAGCAGAGGAGACAAGCCCTCTTCCTCCACAACCCTTAGTCCAAACGAAGAGGGATCTGTCTGCCACCTCCCTCCCCCCCCCCCCCCCCGAGGGCCTGGGCGAGACCCTTTCTCTGCTCCCCTCATTCTGAGGCTGTGCTGAGGTGGGGGAGCAAATCAAAGAACACATTTTGACGGAAACAGCACCTCGCTCTTTATGCCAAGCTACTTCCAAAGGGGCCTAGACCAGCCCTCCTACCCTAAACCTTAAGGCTTCTACCGAAATCTGTTCTCGTCTCTCAGGCCTGAGGAGGGAAGGGAAGGGAAGGGAAGCCCCAACTGGGCTCAGGGTCAGGACTGCGACTCTCCTAATGGCCCAGGCCCTAGCTCTGCTTCTTCATTTCTATGGAAACAACCCTGGGCCACTCAGGAAGGCTTCCAGTGCCCAGCCCTCCTGTCTCCTCAAGCAAGAGGGGAGGCAGGCTCAGCCCTCCAGCCCCGTGCCCTGCCCAACACCCCGCCCCTTACTCAGAGCCAAAGGCCTCGCACTGGAAATGATTGCAAAAGGCCCTGGGTCCCAGTCCTGGCTGTTCCTTTCCCTCAGTTTCTTCAGCTACAAAATGGGGCTGCCTGCCCTCACTTCCTTCCCAGGGCTGCTGATGCTGACAGGACTCTGGAGGAAATGATAGGTGGCGGCCCGAGTTTCTTTCCACCACCAGGAGGAGAAGGTTGGGATCCAATGGGACAAAGAGGTGCCCAGGGCCCTTGCCAAGCTGGTTTCCTTAGCAAGCCCAATCCAGGCTCTTGGCCTCAGCAGAGAACACCACTCCTCCTCTCTCTCCCACAGGCTCAGGCTAGCAACCTCCCCCACATTGGTAGGAGCTACTTATGTCCACAAGGCAAGAGCTTGGCCGGCTAAGGGAATGTGGGGAGAGGAGCCCCGCCTCACTTCCATGCTCTTTCTCATCCCACAAACCCTTGGCATCGTCCCAAATGCCTCGCTCCCAGTCTCCGTAGCCTTGGACGCCACAGCCCACTCCCTGCTCCCGAGTATCTCTCCTTGCTGGGTTTTCCTGACGATGGTCACGTTCATTCAGCGCAGGTGTGTCTGGGCTCTCTTCTCTCCCCCGCCCCAAACCCGGTCATCTCATCAGCAACCAATGACTTCATGCCAATGAGATCTCAACTCCAATGCCTCCCATGTAGAATCGATTCTAGGCTCTCTCCTATTGGAACTCCCATAGACATCCCACCCCAACACGCCCAAAACAGAATTCTGCCTTCCTTCTACCCATCTCACCCACTCAAAAATGTCGGTGTTATCTGAGTCATTTCCCCACCTGGGGGAGGCCCTCACACCTGGACTATTGCACTAGTCCTGCCCACTCTCCAAGGTGACCTTCCTCAAGTGCTAGTCTGACCACCAAAAATCCAACGCCAAGTCCCCTGGCATTCAGAGCCCTTACCAGTCCAAGTGGCCTCCTTTCTGCCCCTCCCCTCTCCTCCCAGAATCAATCCCGGGCTACATTGCAGGTGTTTCCCCCACCCCCACCCCCACCCCCGCCGCTGCCCAGGCTGCCTTGTGTTCATTCCTGTCTACACTCAGCTCTCTGTGGCGCTGCCCTCATTCGAAGCCAAGCTCTTTTTGGGCAGGGATGGCTTCCCTTGGCCAAGTGAGGCCTCAGGCCTGCCAGTCTAGCACCTCATAGTAACAAGCTCCCATTTACGTAGCGCTTTAAAGTTTGCAAAGCAATCTAGAAATATTACCTCATTTGATCCTCACAACTCTGGAAGATAAAGGCTGTTATTATCCCCATTTTATAGCTGAGGAAACTGAGGCAGAGACAAAGGTGACTAGTCCAGGGTCACACAGCTAGTAAACTAGGAAGTGTCTGAGGCTGGATTTGAACTCAGGTCTTCCTGACTCCAGGCACAGAGCTCAGGGCACTGCGGTGCCCCCTAGCTGTCCCTGTCCACAGCCTACACTTAAATAAATGAATGCCTGTCAGCAAGAAGGCAACCAAGGAGCCGAGGGAAGGTTCCTTCCTCTCCAGACAGACCCGCCCCCACCCCCTGCAGAGACAAGCCACAGAACATTCCGGATCCCATTTCCTCCCACACTTCAAGGGTTACAAAGTGCCCTTAGACCACATGGAGTCCAACCCCCTCAGAGAGGAAGAGGCCCAGAGAAGGGTCCATTCTCTCCACGTACCCCCACCCCACCCCCAAGGATTGAATTTAGAGCTGAGCTGGGGCCTAGGAGGGGAAAAGGGCTGGGCATGAGGCCAGACTGTCAGGGTTCTGCCGAGCCCACACGGTGGGGAGAATGATGCACACTCACTCACTTTCCCAAGGAACTGTTGCAGGTAAGACACCCTGACAGTACCCAGGAGAGGACTCTGATGCCGGGCCATGGGGGACTGGAGGACAGGGCCATAGGTTAGCACAGAAAGAATAATGGGATTGGGAGTCAGATTTGGAACCCTGCTCTCCCTTGTTTGCAAAGGGCAGCGGTTGGGCTAGACAAGCCTGCAGCTCCAAACGGGCCTGTGGTCCTGACTGGATGGCTTCCTGTGGCCCCACGGAAGCTGGCTCCCCCTAGTCAGGCTCGAAGGCAGCTCCAAATTCTAACCTTCAGCAGTGACCATGTGGATCTCCCAGCCAGAGCCAGATAATGCTCCTCCCAACTGCCCCCCACACACGCTTTCATCCCATCAGGAATCTTAGCTCTGCTCCAAGCAGTCCTGGGGCAAAGTCCTCCCAGAGCAGAGGCCCGTGGCCACAGCCTCCCCTCCTCCTCCAATGGAGGCTGAGGAAAGGAAGCAAGCCTCACCATGTGCCCCCATGGCTCCAGCAGCTGCTTTATAGAGTTAGGGATCCTAAAAGAACTCGGATGGGTGGAAGGCATAGCTGCATTTCCCAAGAGAAAGGCCTGGCTGGCTGCTGGCCTGCCCCACTCCACCATCTGTCAGGGGGACTGCCTCCAGCCAGCAGACAATTCCTTCTCACTGAATAAAGACCCACTGATTGGCATGAGAAAGGGAAGGGTAACCCCTCAGGCCCAGCATCACCTCAGGGGACCCCCCCCAACACATACACCTGGCAGGAAAGAAAATAAGCATTTCTGTGGCACCTTCTATAGAGGCCAGGCACTGTGCTCAGTGCTTTCTAAACAGCGATCCTCTGATCCTCACAACAACTCTGGGAGAGAAAGACTTTTCTCCCTATTTTTGCCATGGAGGAAACCAAGGCACACAGGGGTTAAATGACTTGCCCAGGAATTGTCTGAGGCTGAATTTGAACTCGGGTCTTCCCAACTCCAAGTCCAGAATTCTAACACCACCAGCTACTGGGACAGACTAAATGTGTACCAGCCTCACCGGACAGGCAGCTAGCAAACACAAAGCATCATGCAGCCAAAGAGTCACGTGCAGCTCGGGGTGGCGGTTCTTAGGCCGCCACTGCCCAGAGGCATGGAGGGCCGCAGGACAAGCTCCCAATCACTCTAACCTTTCTAGGGGTACAGAGAGGTGGGGAGGGGGAAGGGCAGGGGAAGGTGGGGGGAACCAGAGGCCTTTCCTGAGAGGCTCCCCCTTCCTGCCTCCCCAGCCCACAGGACAGCAGCAGCAGCAACTCACCCACTGCCCGGAACAAGCAGGCCCCGTCGTCCTTCATCTGTTTGATAATGAACCCTTTCTTGTCCCGAAGGGCCTTCTCAAACCAGTGTTCCTGCTGAAGATGAGAGACAGCAAAAGCTTAGAGACCGGCCAGCCGGAGCAGCCTGGCCTCCTTGGCCCCACAGAGGCTGCCCAACCTCCGCGTGGCGCCAGGTCGGAAAGACCCCGGGGCACAGGGGACATCTCCGAAGCACTCCAGCGGTCAGGCCAGTTGAAGGGCCTGCAGGGCTTTAAGGGAAGCTGCCCAATGGTCATCTTTTTTTTAATTCCTTCTGCCGCAGCTGAAGGAGAGACACAGGGACTAGGAGTCCTTCAGCTTGGGCCCAAAGGGAACTCCCCTAATCCTGGCAGAGTGGGAACTAAGGCAGGCAGATGTGGCTGCGACATTAGCAGAGAGAAAGGATTCTAACTCCAGCCCCAGGTAGAATCCACGGGCACAGCCTGAGCCTGAGCCTGAGCCTGAGCCTGAGCCTGAGCCTGTGCTACCCAACTGCAATCAGTCAGAACAGAGAAGATGGCAAAGGGAGGAGACTGGGGAGCTACCCCACAAAGCCCCACAGCACAGGAACTCCTCCAACTCCTGGGAGCCTCCAACCAGTGAAACCTCCCCTTGCCCAAGGTCACTAAGAGGTAGGGTGGGGATGCCGGGCCAGCACTTGTAGGCATCTAAGGGTGCGTGCACACGTGCACGTGGCATGGTATGGCCACAGACAAGCTTCTTGGCCCTGCATTGCTGCTGATGAAACAGGAGTGCCATGCGGGCCCGGGCACATCAGTCCAAGCGGACAAGCTGGCCCCCTTCCCCTGATGGGGGTGCTTTTGGCTAGATGAGGGGGTAAGGGGCACGGACACATCCACTGGCTGGTGCGAGGCATTGCCCTCGTCCCCCAGCTGCCCATACACTGCTGACACCTGGTGTCTGGCACGAGGAAAAAACCCAACGTCCCCAGGAAGTCGCTAGTTGGGCTCTGGGCCAGGCCTGGAAGTGGGGGTAGGACACCAAGGGCAGCCAGCTCCAAGGAGCTTGAGTCCCACTCCTACTCTTTCCCTAACCCACAGTGGCCTTGCAGGTAATGATGGTGAGAAGCCCTTGCTAGGGGGTGATGGGAACTTGCTCAGGGGAGGGAGAACAGAACATGGAATCCAAGTTGGGGAGTGGCGCTCTGGGCCGCCCCAACAGGGCAAATGGTTCCTCTGGGTCCCGGGAGCTCCCTTCCTCTCCTGCCTTTCTCACTCCATCGTTGTCCCCCTCTGCCGCCCCACACCCAAAGGCAAGGCAGCAGCCTCTGGTCCAACCAAGGACCGGAGACCAGCATCCATCTATCCCCTGCTTGAGAGGAGAAATAAGAGCCCCCAGAGGGCAGAAGAGGTAGGGAAGGGGCAAACAGTTATTTAGCACCAACTATGTAGGTGCCAAGCACTGTACTAAGCACTCTGCACATATCTCTGGTCCTCAGAATTCTGGCACAGAAGCCAAGTCCTGCCCAGGATCACACAGCTAGGAATCATCTGATGCTGGATTCGAATTCAGAGTCTCCCAACTCCAGCACTGGACCACCTACAACTAAATGAAGGCCTGACCCCTCTGCTCCCTTCTTCCGCCCCAAAGGAAGGAGGTCAGGAACCAAAGCTGACAAGTGGAGATCATGGGGGCACTCTCAAGGGTCCCCCCCCCCCCGCCAGCCCCCAACAGAAAGGAGATACACTACGTCTCTCCCAAGATGTCTAGGCTGGCTGCCCAGCAAGAGAAGCAGGGGCCTTGCCAAAGGCGTGCCCCCATGCCTCACCAGTCAGCGGCCACCTCCAGCGTGCCAATGTCGCCTGACTCTGGCCATCCGTGGGCCTGGGAGCCAGGCTCCCGTAAGTCGGGGTAATTGGCAGGAGGGACTTAAAGCAGCTCCCAACCTAAGGACCGTTCCTCCGGGAGCACTAGCTAAGAATTCTTGAGACTGGAGACCAGGCACCGTGCAGGTGGAGGAGGAAACCTCTTCTCCGGATTTTAAGGGGCTGGCCCAGGCCACAGAGCCACGCAACCCTGACATGTGCTTCGTCCTTGGACGAGGACCTAGGGGAAAAGCTGCCTCCTTTTCCTGAGGAGCTCAGTGGAGATAGATGAAGAGAGCCCTGCCAGCCAGCTCCTTCCTCAGGGGCCCTGAGGAGGACACTGATGGCTTCCTGGAGCCCCGAAAATGCTCGAAAAGATAAAGATGATAGAGCATAATGAGATGTGAGACTCATGGAAGTCGAGGGGAGAGCACTTGGTGCTACAAGGGACCTTCCAAGGCACTTAAGTCAAGGCCCTCGATTCTAGAACGACTACAGAGACTCAGCTGGAGATCCCACCGGCCTCCCTGCCCCAGCTCCGCCTGAAGAGCACATTTAGGGGAAGACAAGGGAAGGAGGGAAGAACCAGGAGACGTCAGGTAGGCAGGCTGTGGCCTGGGAAGAAGAGGACCCCAACAGAGAGGAAGAAAAGAGAGTGGCTTTTGGGGAGGAAAGTTACAAGAGAAAGCAGAAGCAGGGCCCCCCACCCCCACCCTGGAGAAGCAAGGATGAAAGATGGAATAAGAAAAGCAGGGGAGGCACTAGGGGACTCCACGGATGGGGGGGGGGGGGCTGGGGACCAAGGACGTAGTAAGAAAAACCAGGAGACTCTAGGATGGGGGCTAAGAAATTTAAAAACTGGGGGGCAGGGGGGTCTAGGGACCAAGGGAGAAACACTGGGCAAGAAAAGCAGGGAGTCATGGAGACCAAGGATGGAATAAAAAAAGTGGGGGGGGGGGGGGGGGGCGGAGAGGGGGGAAGAAAGGGGGGAAGGGACCCGGCGGGCGGGGGGGGCGGGACGCTACAAGGGGGGGGGGCCTAGGGAACCAAAGAGGGGACAAAGATAAGGGGTCCTGGGGATCAAGGGGGAACAC